TGGTGGCCAAGGAACCCTCCACAGTCACACCATGCAGAGCATCCCTTGTCACCTCTCCTCCCCAGTAATACAACAGACATCTGTTCACACCAAACTGAGCAAATCTAATATTTATTTCACATTTAGGTCACAGGACATCAAACCAAATATTTTTACCCCAAACAGATTTCCTGACCTTGTGGCAAATCATCCCTGATTTGCAGTAATATTTGTCCAAAGAGATGTCTTGCTCTCACTTAAAAATGAAAGGAAAAGAAGTTACATAGGGTCCTGCACTCAGCTTTAAGGTGCACAATTGCCTGTGCACCCAAATCACCTCTGGATGCCACTCTTGATTTCACTGGAACCAGGACAAGATCATTAAACTCTTAAACTCTTATTTCCTGCATTTGTTCACTCCTTTTCATCCCTGAAAACCAAAATTATTTAAATACATAAGTCCAAACACCCCAAATGCAAAGCATTAAAAATTATATTTAACAATCTTGGCCCAAACAGTGGCTATGGGGCCCCTATCAAATCTGAGACAATCCCATTGCTTGTAAAGATGCTTTTTTTTAAAGATGATTTTTTTTCCCTTTCAGCCCTCCTGGGCCAAGGATCACATTAGCACTGCTCCTTTGAAAGCTCTGAAGGGCTCTGTACATGGAAAATTGACCTTTTTTTCAGTTAAGTTTGAACTAGTTTCAAGGCAGAAACTGCTGAAGAGAGAATTTCAAAAGCTTGAGAAATCTAGTGGTCCCTTATGGCTTGCAGTAATGAGTAAGATAAAATGCTCTTTCTGGTTTCCTTCCCCCTGTAATTGAAATAGATGCTGTACTGGGGCTGCAAAACTGCTGCCCAATTATCACCCAGCCAGGCTGATTTACATCTCCTGTTCAGCCTCAGCATGGTGGGAAATGCTCAGGAGGGCCAGTGTAAACATATTTATGTCCTGGTGGGATGTGCTAAGCTCCTAATATCAGGATAATAGTGTTATATATGTAGACATATATGTGCATATACATCTAAAGACCCAGCTAGGCAAACTTTCTCCTGTGAGGGCACCAAGAGCTGCTGGCTGAGACACAGCACAGCTACAGGCTGGAAAACACCTGGTTCACCCCAGTGCTTGGCTTGGATTTTAGTGATGCTCTGTGGATGTGATCCTCTTTTACTGGCACATTCCAGCTTCCCTTTGGAGGGTTTGAGCACCAGGAAACTGCCTGAACTATTGGTCAAGTAAACACAGACTAGTCCCAGTCTCATTAGGGTCATTTCTCACATTGGCTTGGCTGGGGGAGGTGGAGAGGACAGGCAGCTGCTGGTGGGCTGCCCTTCAGGGCACCTCTGCCACCCCACAGAACCCTTCAAATGAGTTGGCTTTGCAGAGCCACGCAATATTTCACAGGTAAATGACAGACTGCCCACGTGGCTGTAGGTGGGAGGAGAAGGAGGCTGTGGCCACCACATGGAGCCCCACTGGCACAATTCCTGGTGTGTTTGAAGAGTCCAATACCAAATCCCACAGGATCCCCACTCTGCATTTCAATTTCATCAGGGTAAACTCCTCAGAGGTGTGCAATAGGAATGCCATCACATATCAGACATTTCAGGAAGTGTCTGTAATTTCTTTAATTATTCAGACAACAGAGCACAAGGATAATAGCTTCAAGTACATTCTTATACATTATTTTGACAGTAATAGATATGTATTTAGTCATAAACTATTCTGTAGCCACCACTATGTGTACATTTTATACAAACTATTGCCATACTCGGACCCTGAAAATGGACAGTGACATCTCCTAGATGTTTTGCACAAGGTTATGACAGTACATCCTTCATACAAGAGCTGTGGCTGTGGGTTGGATTGGCCCATCTAAGGAAGCACTTCTAACACACCACAGAGGGGTGATCCTGATGAGAGGAGCCAGAGGGAGAGGTGGAATTCAGACACAGTGAGAGGAAGACGTAAAGCTGCTTGGAATAAGTGCGACGGAGAACATGGCACAGCATTTCTCTGCTCAGTGAAACAGGCTGATCCTGGTGTAAGAGCATCTAAGCTTCTCTCACACCACAAAGATCTGAGCTCGTCTCGGCCTTTGGGTGAAGATTAAATGAGGCAATGTCTGGTGTGGTCCCTTCCAGGCATGTGCCCTGCCCTGACACAAGTGTGGGCTCTGGTCTGATGGCTCTTTAACATCTCAGTTGCAATTTAGATTGAAGCCCTCCAGCCAGTGGCTTAAAGTTTGATCATTGACATCCCTAAACACCTCCACCATCCGACCTCTGGAGAAGGCACCTTCCAACACGGTCATTTCTTTGAGTGTAGAGGCCTTAAAAAATGGCAACCACCTCTCAGAGACTGGGTAAGAGAGCTCAGACACCCAGACGCTGCCAAACTAAGGCCAGACTCACACCAGAGACTCATTTGTTCCACGATAACATTCTCACATGCCCCAAATCATCTGGGTTTGCAGCCCTCAGCACACCCCAAAGACAGGGAGGTGGTAGAGTCCAAGCTGGGGTGGACAGCAGGTCCTCAGCACCCAGCAGGCAGTCCACAGTCTCCATGATGCCTCTCGTTGGGTAGGCTGAGGGTGGCTTTGTTCCTCTTCTGGTGCTGCAGCACGCTGTGGTCACTCCAAAGTCTCATCACCCTGGCCATGTCCAAGCTTTGGAGGTTGGAAGTGGGGCTGGACTAGAGGCTGACAGGAAGGAGAAACCACATCCATCTGTCAGGGCTTCACACAGCAATGCTCGTGCGTGGAACTCGGCCTCCAGCTCCTGACAGCGCTCCAGAAGCTCCTGGGATTTCAGCGTGGAAGGGCATGGTCGACACTCTCTGGAGATGGCCCCAGGCAGGGACGTTCTGGGAGGCTGTGGAGATGCCGTCCATCCCAGCAGAGAACGTGGCTGTGTCTCTGGAGCAAAAGGCCTGGTGGATGAACATCCTAGACTGGCAAGTAATGGAAACCAAAGAAAAGGTGAGAAGACATTCAAGGTAAGCTCCCTTCTGGCACGGTCCCGTCGCAGACGCGCACACACATGCACACACAATGTTTTGCAACATTTTTAAAGGGATCCTGGAAACCCTCAGTGGAGGAGCACGTGGCGCAGCAGAACCTCACTGATCAGCACCTGTCAAGGATGATCCCCTCAGGGTGGGTTGGGGCTGGGACCAGGCAGGGGATGCAGCGCTGGCCCCATCACTCAGCTCCTAAAACACATCTCCAGCACATTCACCCATGGGTGGCTCGGGACAGACTCCTGCATTACAGCTAAGGAATGTCTCTCAGCACAAATGAACAAATCTTTACCCTTTTGTTTGTTTTGCAAAGGGTGTTTTGCTCTGTTCTCAGTGGCCCCAAGCTCTGTGCTGTTACTCAAAGCAGTCAGTGAAATCTGGTGGCTGTCTCCTTCTTCCAGCATCAGCCACATGAACCCCTCTAACTCACCAAAGTCAATGTCTCTCCCTCAGATTTCCATCTTCTGGGCACCCAAATTGAAGTCCACCAAAATCCCGGAGTTGCCAAAAGGAGAAGGCAGCTGCCTCCCTCCACATTAATGCACTTCAAAGGGAAAACTTGATTTAGCATCCTCAGAAATCAATTTTAAGAGCCATCTACAGTCTCCATTCCAGACTGGGAGGTGGACATGGAGTCGGGGCTGGAGCTGGAAGAGAGGAGCATTGCCTGAGCAGGGATGGGGAGCCAGGGCTCTGGCAAAGGGAAACCCGTCTCCTGGTTGCTCGTGCAAATAAGTGAGGTTCTACTGTCAGTACAAGAGATTCCAGGTAATGCACAGATGTGATGGATTCGTTTCCTTAATTAAAGTACCAAAATTAAATGTTATAAGCAACACATCTAAATAAAATAATGGGCGCTCATTTAGGTATCATGTTTCCTAAACCAACAAGCAAAAAGGAAAAAAAAAAATGGGATGCACCAGGAACTCTTAGTTATTATATACTAACCAAACTGTGCATGGCACATTTTATTTCTATAAAACTATTAAAACTATTACAAAATATTCAAAAATACATTTTAGTAAATTTACAGCAGTTATTTCTCAATTTATTAATGCAAAACATCCTTTTCCCCCCTCTGTACAAACTACCATCTCCATCGTCACAGAATTGCCGCCATGTGCGCTTTTTAAAAAATATTATTTTCTAATAAACTTTTTCTGAAGTTAAAAATAACAAGGTTTCTTACGGTTTTTGCAAATAAAAAGTTTGTGTAACAGTCTCGACTTCCATGAACTTCCATGAACGTGGCCAAATGATGTTTTTACAAAGCAAAACATGGTAAACAATACAGGAAATGATGTTACATTTGCAACTATTTAAATTAAAATAATATATTCTCATATTTTACACTATTTCAAAAAACGAAATGTGATTCAGTTAAGTATTGATCTCTCAAAAAAATCTAATTTACAATTCTGTGTATAAAAATATAATTTACGGACCCCCATGAAGTTTGTCTTTTTTGTGTGTGTTTGTTTGTTTGTTTGCTTGTTTTTTAGAACTTGCTGAAATGAAAGAGCAATGTAATGGAGAGATGGGAAAGTACAGAATTTTGCTTTCTGAAAGTCAGGACACACATGACATGTAGAAAAATAGACTCTGCGCAGTTTTGCTTGGCCTCACAAAATAATTTTTTCTCCTGTGAGTACAGTTCACATGATAATAAATTATCAAAGAAACTATTTAAGGCTCTTGAAGGTCCGGTTCATATCATTTAAAACATCTATTCAAAATACCAAAGAAATAAATATCCAGGAGAGGAGGAAAAAAAAAAAAGCAACCAACAAACAAAACAAAACAAATAAAAATATATATATATTTATAAACTAAACAGAACAGAACTTCCAGGGGTCTTTGTTTCCCTTTAAGTCTACTTTGGACTGTCCTACTTAATTATTATTATTTTATTATTATTATTTTTAAGTCTTAATCCGTGCTCTCTTTTAAAAATATGTATTTTTTTCCTTTTTTTTTTTTTCTTTTAGTGTTTTCTTTTTTTTCTTTCTTTTTTTTTTCTCTCCTTTCTCTCTCTCTCTCTCTCTCTCTCTCCCTCCGTGTCTCTGTCTCTCCGTTGGAGCCTGGCGGGATGGCGCGGGGTGCCCTCAGCTGGACGACACCATCATGCCCAGCGGGTGCAGAGAGTCACTATCCAGCACCCAGCTGCCGATGCGGTAGAGGAGCCGAGAGTACCAGTGGATGCCGGGGGCCGTGGGGTCTCCCATGGGGCACCCCACCCCGGCGGGACAGAGGGCGGCCAGCAGGGCCTGCAGCAGGCGGAAGGGAGCGAAGGCCCAGTGCGCCCAGCTGTGCTCCTCGATGACGGCGTAGCACGAGGCCAGCACGCGGTCGATGAGGATGGTGCCCTGGGCGGTGAGCGGCGCGTAGGCTCCCGACGCCTCCTCCCGCAGCGACACGCGGTGCACGGCCGCCGGCAGCAGCCGCCGCCCGCCCTCGCCCAGCACGAAGACGCGCTGGCCCGGCCGCACGCGGCTGGCGAACAGCGCCCGCCCGCTGCCGGCGCTCCCCGCCTCGGACTGGTTCTGCTGGGGGGCCACGAAGAGGAGGTGGGCGGCCGTCAGCAGCAGCCGGGCCCGGGGATGCCGGGTCTCGATGACGTAGAAGAGCTTGTGGGAGCCGTCCTCGCGGTCCAGGAAGGTGAGGAAGTCGCTGTAGAGCAGACGGCCTTCGGTGTCGGCCACCAGCACCCTGTCTCCAGGCCTCAGGTCCTTCACCAGCTTGGTCCCACCTTTCTCCAGGTGCACCGTGGCCGAGCCAGGGAAGCAACCACCAGATTTGGCTGCCACTGAGTTTTCTGCGCAAGGAGAGAGGCAGAGCAGGGTTAGAGGAGGCACATGCCGGGCTGGGGTACGGGAGCATGCAGGAACTTAGCACTTCCCCAGCCACCCCAACCCACCAAAAAAGTGCAGGACAAAGCCAGATTCCCCTCTGAAATTCCTTCACCCTCATCTATGAGCACGCCCCATTTGCACTCGGTGGGTCAAGTGAGAATCCCCTTCCTGCCAGATTTGAGTCAGTGTAAAATCTCCTCTGGGTTAGGAGTTACAAGAGCGATTTTTCTCATAAAGGAAATGAGCCAAAATATTTCCACTGAGAAAACTGTTCCAGAACAAAATCTCTTCTGGAAGAACTTCCCATTTGGCTGCTGTTTACCCTGCACTGACACCTGATGCCAGATAAGTTGCAGGCTTTCAAAGCTGAGTGGTTTTGCTGGCATAAAGTTTCTTCCCTAAGCAAGTGCCTGTGCTCTCGATGCTCGGGGTCCCCACTCAGCTCTTACTCAAGGAGCAAATCTAGGGCAGCAAAAAGCAGAGGACAGGAGGAGACTTTGCCTCAGGTTGCACACAAATTTTGGCACTGCAAAGCAGGAGCCCAAATTTCCCAAATCCCCCTGCATAGTGCTGCACAAGCCCCCATGCTGCCTCCAGCCTTCCCGCTCAGCATGGTGGCTACTGGGGCACGTCCCACACTCACAGCACCCCTACCTGGCATCTCCAGCACTCTGCTTCAATCCTCTCCCAGAAAAGAAAGAAACCTCTCCCTCCCCGCTAGGAGAAGCATGCTCTTCCCTGTCTCAGAGCGTGTGCTCCCAGAGCAGCCCAACACCTGTGCCAGGCCCAAGCAAATGCCTCCTCCACCTCCTCCAGCTCTTGGGAGTTACTCAGAGCTTAGAGTAGCTGTTGCTGCTTTCCTGTGCTACTGAGAGGAGCTATCTCAGACTTAAAGAAAGCAAAAGTAGCAATGAGACTCCGTCTCTCTTGCAAATCATTTTTTGGAAGCTCAGCCACCTGTGGGGTGGTGGGAGAAAAAGTCTGCTGTGCTCCAGGCTGATCTCTGTCTTAACAGAGGGACTTGCAGTGTTCCTAACTACTCTGGTTTTTTAAATATTGGTTAATATCCCACAGGATGTCATGGTAGCAAGTGCTGAGATTCCCCATCCCTCCTTTGCCTTTCCCTGCTTTCTCCCAGTTACTCCCAATACCAGTTAAGAAACCTCATGATTTAGCCCCTAAAGATGGACAGATTTTATATTTTGTCTCTGTGGCTGCTACTGAAATTCCTATGATTTAAACAAACCCTTGGAGTGTCTCCTAATGACTTTCTCAGGAAGGACAGGAAGGGTGAAAATTAGACCATTATTGATTTGCTAATGACTTTATCACTTCTCCTTCAGAAATGAAGCAGCAAGATCTCCAAGGCCTCCCTCTTCAGGGAGGACATGGCAACAAACAAGCTATGTGCTTTATGTGGAGGCCTCTGCTAGTAAACTACACCTTCCTACAAGCTGGCAGTAAAGGTCTGGCTAGAGCTTTGTTTGCATATTCAGGGACTTGATGAATAGATGTAGTAGTGTAGCAGCTCTACAAACATGCCAGTGAATTGGCAGAGGTGTGAAAATCTGCTTCTTTGAGCAGCGCTTGTTTGGGTTCTCTAATTAAAATCCAATAAAGGATCAGCATTGTCATTCTGATTCATGTAATAAATGCAGACACTCTTGGAAGAGAGGACACTTCCATTTTTTTCCCAGCTTCTTTCCCCCCTTTTCTCCCCCTCCCTATTTGTTCAGGTGCAGAAACCCTATGTGCCAATTCACACACATGCTCTCCAAAAACCCAGGACCTTCCAAGCACTATTTGCACAGCAGAGCCACTTTTCCAAGGCACTCAAGACCTGTATTTGAATTTTAAATGTAGAAGCTTGCTCTAAATACTTGCTGTAGCGCATTATCAATGTCCCTTTTACCACCCCTGCCTCTCCCTCCTCTGTTCTGGTGACAATAATTCAGGCCTTGGGGGAACTCTTCTTCGCATTCCAGTCTCCTGGATCATACTTTTTGCAAACAGAGATCTAGATAAAGAATCTTCCTGCTGGCATTATGGGATTTAATCTTCTCATGAGATGCTCTGTCATGAAATGAGGTTTGGACAGTTTAAGATCAGGCTGAGAGAGTGGAATTCAAGCCTGCTCCCTTCAGCCTGCCTCGTACAGTCACACGACCCTGCCTGACACCCTCCAAATATTGCCCCCGAGTCCTTGTGTGCCGAATCTCAATGAGCAGCTTGGGGTGGCTCCCCTCCTGTGAAACACCCCTGGGGTGGATTAGGAGGTGCTCCTGGGCTAAGGTCACGGCGCGCCACAATCGGACACCTTGCGCTACAAAGCCCATCTTGGCTATTGAAAGGGCAGTTTCAGATCTGCACGCAGCTGACAGCTTTGCAGGGCCTCTTTTCGCCTAGAAAGGACCCAGGAGCTGAACAAAAGCAGTAGCAGGCTCTCAGGACAAAGCCCACATGGGCCAGGAGAGGTGCTCAGCCCCTGGGGAGCTATGGGCAGGAGTGGGGGACGTGAACCCCTCCTGCAGGTGGGCACGGCAGGGCTGGGCTGTTTCCCTGCCGAGGGGCTGCTGGGTTTGAAGCAAACAGCTATATTTAAAGAAAGCCCATTATTTTCTTTTGCAGCCAAGTGTCTCCTGACACATCCAGCAGGTTGTTGGGCTAGGGTATGCTCTTAAAGGGAGCTTTCGATGTCATACAGCTGGATGGAGGGAGGCGGTGGAGCTGGGAGCTGTCACTCGCTGACAGATTTGCTCCACCAAAAAACGTGTCAAGTGTCAAGAAAAGAAACTCTGCGAGTCCGGGATTTCTTGCGAGCTGTTCCCGAGTTGAGACAGCGTGTGGCGTTGTAAGCACAGGGGAGGGGAGGAAAAAAAATTATGTGTATGTGTATCCCTATCTGGGAATTTCCTAGCGGCTACCGCTGAAGGAGGCTGGGGACCACGTTACTTATTTATTTTCCTGGCCGGCTCCCACTCGGAGATTAGCGCTCACGAGTAAGGCGTGCAGCCAGCGGGGCGGCTGGAGACGGCCACGAGTGTTTGTGTTGAACATGCTCCTTGGATGGGGAAAGCATCAGACCCCACGGGGGGAGGAGAAGGGTGTGTGGCTGCGACGCAGCTCTCGTGGGGAGGCTGGCCAAGCAAATCACCCAAATAAAAGTGCTGTGAAAAACTGCTGCAGCTGGCTGGGCTTTGTTTTTTCCTTCCCCCTCACTCTTTCCTTCCCCCCACCTCTGCTCCGACGGGGTCACTAAGAGGAGGGAGGAAGGCCGGCTGCGCCCCCGGGGCTCTGCTCCCATCCCCGCGGGAGCAGAGCCGGTGATGGGGACCCTGCAGGGAGGAGAGGAGGGAGCCCGGCAGCAGAGACAGATCACAGAAGGCTCTAGGGCGCTGAGTTCCTGCCCTGGGATGTCTCCCCACCTCGGCTCGTCCCTGGGCAGGCTGCCCGCCTTACCTGCTTTGACGGAGCAGTGGATGTGCGCCTTGGACTCGTAGTAGACCCAGTCGAAGCCAGCCTCGACGGCCAGGCGGGCCAGCATGCCGTACTTGCTGCGGTCCCGGTCCGACGTGGTGATGTCCACGGCGCGGCCCTCGTAGTGCAGGGACTCCTCGGAGTGGTGGCCGTCCTCGTCCCAGCCCTCGGTTACCCGCAGCTTTACCCCGGGCCACTGGTTCATCACCGAGATCGCCAGAGCGTTCAGCTTGTCCTTGCAGCGCTGCGGGGATACGGGCAGATAGGAAAGGGTCATTGTGGGGGTGCTGCAGCCAGGGGAACACCCCTCCTTCGTTATCGATACCCCCCCGGGCCGCATCCCGCTTCCCTCTCCCGCCATTCCTGCCCTCCCCGCCAAACGCGCCCCAGGATGGGCTCAGCCAGGGCTGAGCATCTTCACCTCCCCTGCAGCCAGGGAAGGACGGGAGGTAGGTGAGGAAGGGGAGAGTGAAACCTGGGGACACGGGATGAACAGAGGATCAAACACCGCGAATATCCACGGGGACGAACCTTCTCCCTGCCCTGGCACCTGCTGCGGGGACAGAGGGACCCCCCTCTGCCGGCGCTGGCCGATTCAAAGCCAGCTGCACGGAGCAAATTCCTGCCGCTAAGTGCCCTGTCCCTTCCCGAGAGCAAAGTTTCTGCCCAGAACAAACACTCGCCATATATCTCAGAGTCACGGATTCCCCCCCGGAATGTCTCTGCGGGTCTTTTCAGCTTAATTCTGTGTTGAAAAGGGTATCAATACATGTTAACAGCCTTTATGTGCTGGAGGGAGGGGTGTTTTTTTTCTTCTCTCCCTTCGCCCATCACTCATTAGAGCCCTCAAAGCTGCATGGGCTGGGAGCATTCACTCCGCTTCAAACATACATCGGCGCTCGCCTACAAAGCCGAGCAAATCCATACAATAATATGGCTCTTAGTGGGAAGATGAAAAGCAAGGGAGGGCCAAGGAGGGAAGTTAAGCGGAGCAGGGATGCTATGCAAGCTAGGAGCCCCTTTGTGTGGAGTGAAACCCTTCCAACTCCGTGGAGAAAGTACTGCAGGGTTTTTCATTGACCCTCCAGAGCCACCAGCCTTCCCTGGGCTGAACTGGGCCCAGCAGCACGAGGAGCACGTAGGGATCGAGTAATGAGGCACACAGGACAGAGGAAAGTGAGGAAAATAAGTGAGCTGAAACCCTGGAAGTTTTGGGGATATTCCCATCTTAGCCAGGCGGGGAATAGACACAGTGACGACAGGAGAGAAGGACTCTCAGCCCGGCAGAAACAGGAAATCAGCACCGAAAGCATTGAAAAGCACTTGACTAAAGGTACAGGGTTAGAAACACACACGTTGCCAGCTTTCTTCCTCCTTTTTGAGAGGAAAACAACTCAGGTGCATCTACCCGACGTTGTTCTCCTGATGCAAATAGCGATGTGGCTGTAAGCCACGGCGGGATGCAGTAAGCTGCTCTTCCACACTTTTGCTGGCCTGACTGCTATGCTTGGCCTTCTGCAGGACCATTCTCCCCAGTGTGCTCACAGCACAGCCAATAAAAGACCACAAACTCCCCTTTTCACAGATCCCAAGAAGGCAAAGCCCCTCCATTACTCCGACGACACTACTTTTAGGGACGTGACAAGGTTGCTTAGCAAGGAAGTTCCCATGTGTTCACCAACAGCCATAAAAGTGATTCCAGCAACACACAGGTTGATATAAAGCGATATAAAAGTCCCCGAGAGATATAAAACACAGTCACGAGCTCACTTTGGACTCTCTGGCCTACCGTTTTATGGAGAGAGACGGGTGTTTGGGTTTCGGCACCGTTCCCGGCAGCAAAGTGCAGTGGTACAAGGAAGTTGAGTTTGATTTATTTTATTTTTTCCCTCTCTCCCTCTCACACCTGAGTGGATAGATACGCTCCATCACTGATTTACAGGGGAAAGGGGGAGAAGGATCAAACGTCTCAGCTGCTGATAAGGCGACAGCACTGCGCGACACGGCGATGTCGTGCCCCGCACGGGAGGAGCGGGCGCGGGCAGGGACGCGGGCAGCGCCGGGGGGCTCTGGCCGCTCCGGCCCTGCCAGCACCACTCCCCGGCTCCAGGCGAAATAAAGAAGAAGAAACGGCCTCCTAAAGGACTTTTCTCCCTTTTATACTGCCTGAGCTGGATTGTCAGAGTCAAAAGCCGTGAAGCCCAGACTATTTATTAATTCATCGGGTCGTGTGCCACAAATCAAGCCCAATTCTGTTCAGCCACCGTGAAGCTCAGCAGGGCTGCCTCCACTAACGCTTTGTGTGGAGGCAAAGTTGTTCAACAAGCCCTCTCCTGCCAGCTCCTAATCTCTTCACAAATGAATTGCTTGAAGGAAACACTTAACAGGTACCTGTCAGTGTAAACAACCTGGTGGGCTTCCTAAATGCCAAGTTGATCTCTAAATTCCTCACATCGCGCACTGGTTGTGTGCCTGCATTACACGAGATTGCTATTTTATTTCATACAAATTCCAGCTTTATCATACTGACCTGGCCTCCTTATCTCTCTCCCCAATCCAGCCAATGGCCGGGGTGGGGGGGAGGAAAGGGAGGAAGGGGGGAGCCCTTAGCAAACTGCTGGTGTCACCTGCAAAGTTGAGAACCTGACTTACCTACCTCTGTTTGCGTTCCCCCCCACCCTTCTGGAGTTAATATTAACTACCGACTAATGCATTCGGCAACCACTCTGCAAGTTTAACGATTCTGTCCATGAAAGATCTCTCCATGGTTGAAGGGCTCCCGAAGCCGGCGTTTAAAGGCTGGGATTTAACGAGAGGTTGCCGGCCGAGCGAGAGAGGGAAGGAGAGGAAAGCAAGGCAGGGAGGCCAGCAGCAGGACCGCACCCCGGGCCGCCGAGGACGCGGCCGTGCCCGGGCAGCGGGGAGCGAGGGCAGGCAGTGCGCTCGCTGCGCGGCCCCGCTCCGCTTCCCCGCTCCCTGCCCGGCCCGGGGTGCCGGAGCCCCGCTCGCTCCCCAACCTCGCTCCCCTCTTTGCCGCCGGGTACCCGGCCCTGCGGCCTCCCCGGCCCCGCCGCTCTCAGCCCACCTCCCCCCTTTGTGTCTAAGGCACGGGAACAAGCGCTGAAGGAGAGGGGGGGGGAAAGTATTTGTTTTCGTTTCGTTCGTCTGAGGGAAGTTGACAGAAGGTCAGGAGTTCAGACGCTGCCAGCTTATGCAGCGGGAGCGGCCAGCCGCGTAGCCGGCGCGGCGTGCCCCGGGAGAGCCGCGGGGCCGGGGTCAGCCCGCAGTCCGCCCCCGGCCCGCAGCCCACCGCTCCCGACCGTGCCCCGGCTCCCCCCGCGCCCGCCGCCCCGCTCCGCTCCGCTCCGCTCCGCTCCGCTCCGCTCCGCCGCGCACACGCACCGGCGCAGCCGCGCAGGGAGGGATGCGCCGAGCCCCGGCGGGAGCCCGTCTCCCGCGGAGCCGCCGCCGCCGCCGCTGCCGCCGGGCTGCGGAGGGAAGGGTGAAACCCGAGCCGCCGCGATCGATACGCGAGGGGAGTAAGTGGAGCTGAAAATGCGAGAGATGCGGCTCCGGAGGCAGCGGGGGCGGAGGACCGCGGGTGCGCGGAGGGGCGCGGGCCGCGCCCGAGCGGGGACCGGCACCCGCTCCGCTCCGCTCCGCAGCCCTGCGCGGGGCGGCGGCGGCGGCGGCGGCGGCGGGCGGAGGCGCCGCCGCGCTCCGAGGTGCGGTGCGATTTAAGGTGGTCGGGAGGAGATGGTGGCGGCCGCCGGTCCCTCGCCCCGAGAGACCCGGCAACGTGCGGAAAATCAGGCCGAGGAACGGGAGAGTTTGGGAAATTCCACCCCCCACCCCCCCTTCCCCGCGTCCACTCCCCGCCTAGTCCTTCCAGGCGAGTCCTGCTCTAGCACTGAAGGTGGGGCTTAAATGTATTAATATTAAAAAAGCGCTGTTGACCTATATTTGGAGGAAACCCATTTCCAGTGTCTAGATTGCATGTAGTTTCTGAAACTCCGGGATTAGCACAGCAATTGACTTCGCTGAGCTCTCTGTTGAGCATGAATTATAATTACGAGGTGACTCGGAGCGGTTCTCTTTCTCTCTCTCTTTCTCTCACCTTTATCTTTTTTTTCCTTTCTTTCTTTTTGTTCATAAAATAGTTCCGCAATCCGATTCCACCCGAAATCCAATATTTACCCAGTTGTAAACCTTGTGCCATCAGATTTTTTAAAACAGAAGGTGATGCAATGCCGATAAGTTGCAAGTCCCTCCCCTATGGAAGTACCAGAGCATTGGCGGCGAGCATCCTTAAAGAAATATCAATATATTTACGCTCTGATGGGCACAATTGCAAATGATGGTATTGCAATACGAGCTATATAATACGGAATCAGATGAGGAATGGTCGATCCGGCTTCAGCTGCCTTTTGTGAGTGCACGACTGCATGCCTACTAAATTTAGAATATGCTCGCGAGAACAATAATAATAAGGAAGGTTAAAATGAAATGAAAAGGAAAAAAAAGAGAAATTAAATCAAATATATAGAGAAAAAAATCAAGTCAGCAGGCGCAGCAACCGCGGACTACGTTTGTAATAATGAGTGGGTGGCCTGGCGGTCACTATACACTTGGGGTCCTCTGAGCTGTATGCAATTCGTTTGATCAAAGTGCATCCTTGGGGACAAATGCAAACAGCAATCTCTAACCAAGTTACAGGGAACGCCATGGCACGGTAATGACTGTAAGTATCACACAGATTCCCCCACCAAATATCGAAACAGCTCCGGCTCCAGCCCCGGCTAACTTGGCCGGATAGATGGTATTTACATTCAATGGGGAAACTAGTCGAGTTTGGAGGGGCGGGGGGAGGAGGGGGAGAGGGAAAGGGGGGGCTTTCAAAAATACTAAGACAGATGCGTCCTTTAGGATTGCTCAGAGAGGTTAACAAACACAAATACAGGTATCTCTGTGGCTCTACCTGAGTCATCAGTCTGTCAGCTCCCGTGTTCTCTTCATCCTTAAAAATAATGTCAGGGTTGTAATTTGGGGTTAGTTCTTTAAATCTCTCGGAGTTTCTTGTGATCTTCCCTTCATATCTTCCACTGGCCCCTAGGGTCTTCTCTGCCACATTGGGAATAAACTGCTTATAGGCTAAAGGGGTCAGCTTTTTGGGGTGTCTCCTTTTTCCAATGCCCCTGCCTGGTCCACAAGTCAGCCCAGAGGAGACTAAAAGAGCGCAGATGAAGCCCACCAAGAGAATTCTTGTCAACAGCAGCATTTCGTCCATTGAATCCAATTACTTCAAAGCTCTCTGTGCCTATCCCTGGCTGTCTCTCTAGAGCTCTCTCTCCTCCTATGTCCTTGTCTGCTTTCTGAATCGTATACTATCCACCGATCCCTAGCAAGACAGGTGCTGGAATGGCAGGCTTTAGGTCGCTGATAACGGAACACATCGGAGTTTGGTCGGGAGACAGCAATCGAGAGACAAAAAAAGGGTCTGATTTTAATGGTAGCAAAGCAAGACGCTAGTGAGAGGAGTCTGCCTTTAGTTCTATATTATAGCTGCCAGGGCCGAGAGCTGATTGGCCAAGGCGAGGCAAGCTTGTCTTCTGATGTTAACCCTCAAAAAGGCAACAAATTCTTGAAAGATTTTTTTTTTCCTTTTACCTGAAGGGCTTGGAGCTGAGAGGGGTGGAGATCGCGCTTTCTTGGGATAACATCAATTACACGCTTTTTTTTTTTTTTCTTTTTTCTTGCTTTTTTTTTCCTTCTTCTGTTTTTTTTTTTTTTTTTTTTTTTTTTTCCTCCAAAAACTTTCTTGGCAGAATGGTACATTTGTCAGCAAGAGGAACAGATGCCTCTCTGAAAGACGGGAAAAAAAATTAAGATTAGCAGGCTGCTTCAGTGCAAATCAAGTTTCTAAGGGCAGTTAAATAAAATGCCGAAATATCGGGGAGCCGTGCAAATAGGAACACACTTGGGTAATATTAACGCCCCGGGGGGGAATAATGCCATTTCAGAGCGCACCCACCTAAATGGCTTTGTAACAGGTTTCTTGCCCCTGAAAAGGGAGATTGCTCTCCCTCCCAAAGACATACATTTTTAAACACACTCGCCTTTTAGCTGATAAATGACCACTTTAACAGCAGAAACAGGTCTGATGCGAAGCGGCAGTTAAATGAAGTTAGTGTGTCTGTGTATCACACAACTGCAATGTGGCACTTTTTTTTTTTTTAATAAAATCAGGACTATCACCCAGTTTAAAATAACGTTGTATCTTCGGAAGTGCACGAATAGTCAACTGATTAAAAATAGATGGTCTCCTGAGCACGCTGGGACTATATTCTTTGTTTCTTTGGTCAAAGTCGGAGTGGAGCGTTTTAGACTCTTACACCTCCTTGCGGGGTGTCATTAAGTTTTTAAGAAAAGCATAGTGTTGAAAGCATCCGCAAACACAATTAACAGAGATCGATCCAAGCAAAGTGAATGGAAAGGGGATAAGTTTAATGTTAAATTAATTGTTATCTCATGCAGCGTGGCAAGTGATGTCTTTATCCCGATCTCCAAAAGCTACTAATCAGACAAAGGTGTTGAGAGACGAGCAAAATTGCAGAGATGAGGCTGATAGAGCAGGTTAGACAGAACAGTAGAGTTCCATATGAACAAACACTTCTCTGCCTGCAAAGTGCTCATTTGCTTTTGGTCCTAAGAAAATACAATTTGTCCTAGGATCTAGAAAGTTTCAGGAGTTTTTTAGGAGTTCTTAAAAATTCCGGGACGGTGTGCTAAAGTAATTCAAAGTCCATTTTCTCAGAAAAACAAAACACATCCAAAAAAATAAACTTTATTTAAGTTGTGGGGTTTAAAAAAGAAAAAAGAGACAGAAAAAGGGAAAAAAAGAAATAAAAAGAGCTCTTTGGGGTGAAAAACTAGATGGAAGTTTTCTGGTCTGTGACATTGAGCTGAATAGTAATCAACTTATACCCTGAAAATGGATTTTAAAATCAGTTTTTAAGTGGTAAAAAAGTTGTATATCCGTAAACTGCAACAAACAGATCAGCACGGACTTTTCAAGAGACAAAGTAGTCTTTTCAGGTAAACTTTAGAAAAGAGGCAAAAGAAGTGGTCCGAAGTGGTCTCATGCCGACTCTGACTGGTGCTCTTTCATCTTTCTGAGACTATGCTTTTCTTCTGCTATTTATGTTTCTTTGTGGAGTTTCAGTGAGTCGTCAATTTCTCTTTCCGACCTTTAAATTGAGGAGTTTTGACTTGGAAATGGGTAAAAAGTTAGAAAGTCAGTAGCTTGGCTCCTGGGTTGTTATCAACCAACTTAGTTGCAGAAACAAGTTGTATAACAGCTAAATACCTGCTTCATGCTATTAAAAAACAAACTTAAGTTTTATCTCCCCGTCTGCGTGCATGCGAGAAGACAGATACAAGGAATATATAATTTATACAAAAGAGGGTATGTTCTTTTGATGTGGTTGCCTAAACAGCATGACTTGATATAACAGTTGATTAAACAGCGCCAAGGAATAAAAGCTATTCTTAATGGTGTGGAATACTGCAAAACTTTTATCATCCCTCTTACCTTGTCCCCCTCCCCATGGAAAGAAGATCGATATCCCAGGCACTAGATGGGTGGACATCGCAGTGAAGAAGTCTAGAGAATAAGGACAAACTCCCTCATTATCAGATTGCCATATGTACAAAGCAGTCACCCAAAGATTAACAGGGAAGGAAACGCAAAGAAGGAATTAATTAAATGCAAGTAATAAATGCGCGGGGGGGGGAAGGGAGAAATCAAGAAAAGTTGTAACTATGGGAAGCTCGAAATCCCCCTCCTATCAAATTAGATGTGAAAGAAAGCAGAGCTGGGGGAGCGGGGAGGCTCTGCTCAGCTTCAGCGCAGGCTGGAGCTGGCGGCGGCCCCGCCGGGAGCCGGGCGGGGGGAGCCGGGGGTGCCAGGGGGACACCGGGGGAAGCCGGGGGGGAGCGGGGCCGGCGCTCCCGCCCGCCCCGCCGAGCCTCCGGGATGCGCCCTGCCTCTCCTCCTCACCAGGAGCTTTTCTTCTTTCTTTTTAATTATTATTTAAATGCCACAGCTTCTGGGAAAACAACAGCCCCCGAGTCCCCGCTCCGCGCTGCCGGCAGCACGGGGGGCGGGGGTCCCGGCCCTGCCCCCGGCCCGCCGGCCCAGCCCCGGCCCCGGGCTGCAGGGAGCCCCGAGCCGAGCCCTGCCCGCCCCACACCTCCCACAGCGAACGCCCCAAAGCTGCAGCAGCCCCCGGCCGGCACCGACGCCTTCTCTGGAGGGTCCAGAGCCCACAGCCGCCACTGTCCCCATGGGCCCCGGGTCCCGCAGCGCTGCCCAGCGTGAGGGTGCCGGGGAGGCCCCTGAGCGAGGCCCCGCCGTAGAACTGCCCCACTCCGCTGCCCTGCCCACAGCGCCAGGTCCATCGTGGAGCTCCTCAGCAGCCCCCAAAACGCTGCTGCAGTGCTTGAGTCCCTGGGTCATCCAGAGCCTCATCCACACCACAGTCTCAGGAGCATCCACTACGGACCCCACTGAGTGCCAGTGCTGGCACCCAGCACAGCCCCATGGCCCCGCACTCCTCGCTGGCACACAGGCTCTTCAGGGGCTCAGCCAAATACATTGAAGCTCCCACTGTGGTGGAGCATGCACTATGGACCCCACTGAGTTCCAGTGCTGGCACCCAGCACAGCCCCATGGCCCCGCACTCCTCGCTGGCACACAGGCTCTTCAGGGGCTCAGCCAAATACATTGAAGCTCCCACCGTGGTGGAGCATGCACTATGGACCCTGCTGAGTTCCAGTGCTGGCACCCAGCACAGCCCCATGGCCCTGCACTCCTCGCTGGCACACAGGCTCTTCAGGGGCTCAGCCAAATACATTGAAGATCCCACCATGGTGGAGCATCCACTACGGACCCCACTGAGTCCCAGTGTTGGCACCCAGCACAGCCCCATGGCCCTGCACTCCTCGCTGGCACACAGGCTCTTCCAGGTCAGCCAAACCCACCGGGAGCTCCCACTGTGGTGGCCTGGATGGGGCCATTGCCAGCACTGTCCTGGGCCATCCCCACCCAGCCTGGGCTGCCGAGGGGCACTGATGGATGCACCCAACCCCCAGACAAGCTCTTTGAGAATCAGAATTTACCTTCTTTTTTATGAAATTTGGATTTGCTACCTTCTTTTTTATGAAATTTGGATTTGCTGATGGCTGCAGGTTCTGCATAAAGCTAGGAAGGGTTCAGACTGTGCAAGAGAGTTGCTCATTGACCATTTGAAGTTTCCAGATTTTCCTTGTACTGATATATTTTGGCTGATGAATCTCAAAATACAGAAAACTATGCATGCAAATGCTGTGTGACTTTTAACTGGATCTTAGCTATTTATCATCCTCAATAGCCAACATTTGTCCTCATGCTTATTGTATAATTTTTAAAATAAATTATCCATTTTTAGAGCATGAAGGCTTCACTCTTGTAGCATCTTTGCACCTGTGGCGCTTCCCAAGAAATTTGGGATGGCGGCAATCATTGTCAGAGAAGCAGATCATCAATAACTTCAGTGAAAACAGAGGTTATACTAGAGCAAAACTGGTGTAAATAGAAGGACACTCAGGCTAGGTTTTCACCTGAAGTTTTGTTTGATTCTTTTATATACCCCACCCTCCTTCATGGCAGTGTTAACCCTTTTTCATTAAAGGAATCGGTGCACATCCCTGTTGCCCATCCTCCTCGTATTGCAATACCTATCTTGAAAATCAACTTAGAAAATTCAGTTCAGAATTACTGGCTAGCTGGCAACTGTATAATGACAAGCAGAACAAGTCTTGTTCTTTGGCATTTTCTTCCAAAAACCCCAAAACCCTGGCACCAACAAGAAAAAAATTAAGCTTGTAGTTTTCCACACATTTTGGTTTAGCAGTAAAATTCAGGGAACCATGCAGATGAAACCTGGTATTGCTTTGCTGTGCCCTTAGTCTGACATTAGTCTGTGAGCATTTCTGCTACAAGAAAAAAAAAAAACAAAACATTTTGTGTGTATGGAGAAGCAGAAAATATTTGCTTTCCAGAATAACTGTGCATTGATTTTGCAGTTTTTATATCCATTTGCTAGTGGATTAATGCTGATCATTGTCTTGGATATGGTCAATAGAGCCTTTCATCATACATGCAAAAATTTTTGTAGGCAGAATGATTCATAAGGCATTGTTATCTAGGTTTTGTTTTGTATTTGCTGTTGAACCAAACTTTAAAGCAGAATTTCCCACAGGTTTCCTTCTATCTTCATCAGGGCAATATGTAATGTCTGATTATAGGTTTATAGAGAAACCCTTACATTTCTCTTTTAGGTCTTTTCATTTCTCCTTGAATAACCCAACAGTTTCTCATTCCAAAAGTCCCAGGTGGGAGTGAGTATAATTTTTTT